ACCAGCTGTCGAAAGCGCTAACATATAAAGCTTCAAATCCTTTTTGTGAAATTTAATATTAAAATACTGAAAATAAAGGAAAATTAGTTGCATCATTCAAAAAATATATATATTTTATGAATGATGCATGTATTGTATTGTATGTATGTATGTATGTATTGAATATGTATGTATATATATACACATACATATCCAATACATACATTATCCAAGGAGGGTTGAAGCATACCTTTCAAAAAATTGTTTTCAATTAGATCAGGGCAGAGGCGTAGGCTACCGCCGTATCAATTATACGGGGCCCCCAAACCAACGGGGCCCCCAAACCACGAGAGCCCCCAACTTGCGTAAACAAAAATTAATAAAAACTTCCCAATTTCATTTTACTTCTGAAATGACAAAATTGAAAACAAACCAATTGTTTTTTCTTGTTTTTACTTCAAAGGGGATGCCTCCGTAAAATAATACGTCTAATCTGCATACGAACTACGGAGAGTAGTGTTTATTGAAGTGTTTAATTTAATAGTGCATTACTTTGTAATACAATACAATTCTCCTGATTAAATAGTGTTAGTAGAGATTTATGAAAAACAATGAGTGAAAGCAAAAGAGATTATCCCAGCGGAGCTACGAAAAGAAAAAATAAACAGAAAAGGGAGGAGGTCATAAAAAAAGTGCCCAAAATTTCTTCATTTTTTCAGACACCTTCTGTAAGTGATTGCAAAGGTTAGTATTATCCATAAGCNAATCTTTCAAACACTCATGAGGAGAATATTGTAAAATTTTGTGTTTTAGAATATGAAACGCATCTTCAATAAACCATCACACCTCTCTATGGTGCACCTGGTTTTTCTGTGCAACACGTTGAATATTTCCTCGTCTCCATTTTGAGGGATTGGTAGAAGGGGGATTAGCCAAGATCAAATATGATAGTCTGAATCACCTGCAAGAAACTGCACCAGTTACTCTACCAATAAAGTTTTCATCAATAAGAATTGCTTCAGTCAAATAATCAAGTATAAGCTGAAGTTGGAAGATTGAAAAAATTTATCAAGAATAGTAATTCATTGACCTGACTCTACTTTTTTTATTATTCAAGTGGAATAACAACAAAATAAGAAACACAAAAATATTCAATTCAAGGTGTGTGCTCAAAATAATAACCATCCTGTTGAACACAAAGATCCACTCTCTCTATGAAAGACTGCTTAACATTTGAGACGACACTCTTCGAAAAGCAGCCCTTATTCTCTCCTTCATATCCTCCAGTCTGATAAGAGGAGTGTCATAAACTTCATTCTTCAAGTATCCAAATAGAAAAAAATCAAGGCAAGTCAAATATGGTGATCTCGCTGGTCAATTTTGTGGTCCTCCCCTACCAATCCATTTATTCGGAAAGCACATTTTCAAAAACTGTCTGAAACTGAATTTGGAATGTGCCGGAGCTCTATCTAAATGCAATCACATTCGTAGTAACAGACCTTCTATTCTGTTAATCCTGAGTGCGAAAAAAATGAGGATTCACATCAGTATAATTATGGAAGTTGTGTCCATTCACTATTATCATGAAAAGTAGATTCATCAGAAAAACAAATGGAACCAAAAAAAATATATATTCTAACTGAACTTGTCCGGAACCCATAGACAAAACTCGATTTGTTGATGGAAGTCTATTTATATAATTCCTGGTGCATCTGAGTACGGTACAGATGAAATTAGTATTTTTTCATTACCTTAGAAATGATTCGTCTGCTTATTCCTGTATCTTTTTCGATCTCACATTGACTTGTATGAGGGTTTTATACGATTAATTCCATAATGAGAAATGTATTTCCTCATTCCGATGATAGGTTTCGTTCTATTTGCCTATTCCTAAACTACGCTTCCATTCCTACGAAATTCCAGACCGGATGCTTCCGGTCTGGACGGAATCGTATAGACTATATGAAAAAGTAACATATAGATTAGACGAAAATGATTACGTACAATGGAATGACTTTCAGAGAGGAATATTTCGGATGATTCAATCAAAATATATCAGAAAAATGTGTACGTTCAATAAGAAACTCAAAACCCTCATATTTAAGCATAAACCGAAAGAAACCACTCCGAAAGTCATAAATATTGTTGAAAATCATTCATCACAATCGTCTGATAATGGAAGAGATCAACTTTTTGAACAACGGTTTGAAATTTGGCATCCCGCCTTCCGAGAAAGTTCTTGAGGATATCGTTGCTAGTGTTGAAAGTTCGATTCTATATATGCCCGATTCCTCGAAGGGACTAGTTCGAGAAAAGGTCAGGAATCAAATCTCCAAGAACAAGATAACATATAAACGAAAGCATTCAATAAACAACAATAAAAACCAAAAGAAACTTATCAGACGATTGAGAAAAAAGGACGTTTTTTATTTGAAAGCCGACAAAGGTAACAAACTAGTAATTCTGGATAAATCGGACTGCTACGAAAGGGTCAATACTCTCATTACTAACGGACCGTATGCGAAATTGTCCAGGAACCCGTTACCAAAGATGATTGCCGAAGTGAAAGACGTCCTTAAGAAATGCGACAACATACTTGCCCCTCGACTGAAACGGAAGTTACAAGTTTCNGGTTGGTATACCTGTATGGTTGTTACGCCTGGATGGTTTACCTGTATGTGTTACCTTTATAGCATAAATAGGATTAGCTCGCACTAGTTCTTAGTTTTAATCTTCCTCTTTGAAGGTGTTCATTTGGTGATCGAAACACGTGTCAAGGTGTTGGGAAAAAACTCCAGTAATATTTGAAGTTATGTTTGTCCGAAATTATTAAAAAGTAACAATGATTTTTGAACATTCTGAATAATTTTGAGAAACGGGTTTTATCGAAATTTATAGCTCAAAATATCTTTTATGCCTTGTCAGAATTTGAAACGATGATTTCTATACATTTCGATGTTATTCAGTATAGAATTGTACCTAGCAGTTTCATAAAAAAATCAATAACTCCAGAACGGTTATAGTCAGGTACATAGTACCTCTTATGAAATTCAATTATTTTTGTATGACCTATTCAAAAGTGTACCGAAATACAGTGACTCACACCTTTGAACCAATCACAGTTGACCAAATTCATAAGTCCTTTCTTTTTGGATCAATTTCAGATGAACAAATTCTCAACTTTAGGGCTGTGTTTCAATTATTTTCAATCCAGAAAGAGCTTGGAGATTTTCCACTTCAGGATTGTAGCATAGGAAAGTATCCTGTGCTATTTATCGCCAGATGGTACTAGTTGACCGTCTGCGAAATAATTATTCACAATTCAGCATTGGCGACGAAGGTTTTTGTTGTTTTTTTTTTATCTGACCTTCCTTTTTTTATTTCAAACCTTATTCTGTGAATTTCGATGCCGGCACACCAATCCGACAATCCTTTGAAATAAAATTTATTTGTTAAATATTTCAAAGCAAATTTTTCTTCCTGGTGTTAGGTAAGCGATAATTTTGTTCTTTAAAATGAATGTATTACTGAAATCAGTAAGTTTTTAGTTTTGGGAGTCGTTATCGACAATCATAAATAAGCTGAGGCATCCTGATAAACCTTAACTATTACCCAGAACCCACACAAAAACTATCCCTGTTACAGAATATATTCTCAAACGTCAAACCCAATTAATTGAACTTACATTTGTAGTTTCTGACGGAAATCAGAAATAAAAAACAAGTACTCAGCAGGATGTGGATTCGACTTTACAGTCGTTGGCTTTGCCTTTTGGCATTCCAACGGCAAATCGCAGTATCATATGGATGTGTCTTAGGCCCTATACGCACGGGCGTATTAACTTCGTCTCGACGCATAATTCATAGCGCGTTGAATTATACACCCCTATACATGCCCTTACCCATGTAAAAAATAGACGATTATATTTTAGAACCACTCCATCATAGACCACCTTGTAGTTACGCCTCTGAGGCGGAAACCGACCACTAGTTTGTACCCGAATGAAAGAAATATTCCATATCAATATACTCAGCCCATTGATTCATTATGCGTTTCAATACGGAACCGATCACATCTATTAATAATGACTGGTAAAATACGGAAAATTACTGGTGCAAAATTAAAAAAAAAATTTGAAAATTGAAAAAGCAAATGAAGAACATTTCTAGTAAGTAATGAAAGGGTTATGATCATGCTTTTATTATTTTCAGTAGGAGTGGCGACAAGGGTCTTATTCAAGACAGGCTCACTTGTACATATAGCAAAATTGGCTTTGTGTTATTAACTGCTCAATATTCTTGGCAGTTAATATTGTGCTTTAAGGATGTTCATGTATGTGTCAAGTATTCTATTCAGAATCTTGGCAAAAGAAATCACAGTGTGATGTTTTTTCTCTCTACTCACAGTTGATTCATTCCGGTAAATTTTTAGGTGAGTCAGAATCTGAAAGATATATAGAGGGGTTATAAAAATCTCAATTCGACGGATGATGACTCAGATGCAAATGAAGACGCACCTGTGAGAATTATAACATAGGTACAAGATGTCCCAATTACACAAAGTGATTCTCTGTCTGTAGTCAATATGTTAGGTGTTAATCCCTCTTCAGACACGGTTATGGGAGAACCTATAAACGGGGATATTATAACAAGATGGTCTGTTTATTTGAGTTTATTCGATAAAGGAATCCGAGATTCCCTATCTAACAAATGGAAAATTCCTGAAAATTGTCCCCTACTCAGTGCACGAAAACTGAATAATGAGCTGCAAGGATTATGTTCGGGGATACAATGAAGAAAGATGCATTTTTATCAGCAGTGCAAAATAAAATGGGCAAAGGTCTTGGTGCAATTGGCCAAGTTCCAGATTGTTTATTGACTGATGACAATCATAAAGACATCAAGGAAAAAACATAGCAACATTGGTAGACTCTGCCAAATTATTGTGCGCGAGTCATTTTTTAATTTCGAGACACCGAATACATGAGATGTTTCCGATGATGAATGAACAAGTGAAAAAGATTGCTGAAAATATATGTCTGATCGGTTTCTTTTTGGATTTGTCACTGTTGAAATTCCATGCTTTAAAAACAGTGGCTTACAAGGATCATTCCACTTTGCACCACAGAGATACCGTACCGTACGTTTTTGTAATATGAACATATTGAAACAGCTGTTTACTGCATACACCCCAAAATGCTATGCCATTCCTTAAGTGAGAGTCTATGAGAGCATAATAAATATTTTTTGCTTCGTGAAATCCCAGTTCCTTTGATACTATTCTGAATGCAAAACACCCGGAGGAAATTTTCTTGTTTATAATGCCTATGTGCTCCTCAAATTTCACTCATCGATATTAATTCCTAAGAATTTTGTAGAGATCTTATTTTCCACTACTTTACTTTTCATATGAATTTCTGGTAGATTGCACTTAAAGGTGTTTATACTAGTTTTTTTAGTGTTGAATGACAGCAGATTTGCATCACACCATTGTTTAATTTCGCTGAGGTCCTTACATATGCTTTCATATAAATTCTGTTGGTTTATATTATGCCACAAAAGTGTAGTATCATCTGCAAAAATGGTGAAACTACCAGAAATACGTACAGTAGCCAGGTAATTTACATATAGTAAAAAAGTATGGGTCCTAAGATCGATCCTTGGGGTACTTGCTTTCACGTTCTTTGTATTGGTTTTAACAAACTGTCTTCATCCTGTAAGGTAGGATTTAATCCATTGCAGGCAGTTTCCAGCAATTCCATAATGATGTAGCTTCTGCAGCAGTATTCTGTGGTTAACACAATGAAATGCTTTTGACAAGTCACAGAATAATGCCGCAGTCGCCTCACTATCATTCAAGTTGCTGTATGCTTCATGAAGAAAATTAAATTTCGCTTCATTAGTGCTTTTGTTTTCCTGAAACCCAAATTGATGAGGAGTGAGTATTTTATTTATATTTAAATGGTCTTATTAAGTCTTATTTTGACTAATTTCTCAATCAACTTTGCAAGAGTTGGTTGTAAAGATATTGGTCTTAGGTTTGACGGATCATTAAGGATCACCCCCCATAGGCAAATGTATGACCATTGATTTTTTTTTAATTATGGAAAAACTCCACGCCTGAAAGTGTCGTTTATAAGTTGAACAAGAACCTGTAGAGCGCAATCTGGTAAGTTTTCAAATATTCTGATAGACGAACTGTCAGTTCCAGATGTTTTTTGTTTCTCAGGTTGATGATGATGCTTTTCAATCTCTCAGTTGATTTCTCAACTACGGAGCAGTAAAAGTCATTAATAGTGCCATAGTGTAGGGAGATATCTGGAAGTTTCTGGTTATTGTTCATTCCCCTCAATTCATCGACAGAATGGATGGCGTGAAATGAAATTACACGAGAAATTTGGCAATGGTGCGAATCTAAAAATCTTTGGGTTTTTGCTTCCTATATTCCTTCTAGAGAAAATATTTATGCTGATGTGGAATCACGGAGTCTCTCTGCCGAAACAGAATATTCATTGAATAACAGAGTCTTTAGTAAAATAATACAATATCTGGAAAACCATGTATCGATCTTTTTGCATCACAGCTTAATGCCAAATGTACTCATCATCCGCTTCAGCAACATGTTCACACCTTTTTTTCCAATCATCAGAGTTAATTTTACAAAATACTGCCTCTACTAATTTTTTAGAATCTTTCAGTTTGAATGTGACATTTTCTTGTCTGATGTTGTTTTTTACAGATGCCTATCAGTTTTATGGGGTTTCAATCCGGATGTTATGGAGGTAGACTTGAAACGTTGTGACCATGTTTTCGTAAGAGTTCACCGACTGGTAAGTTATAGAGCGTTCTTTATTTGACCTAATTCACTGATATAATTCAGGTTTTGAACTAGTAGGATTAAAGTGAATATTCATTTGAAATATCCATTCAATCATATCATTTTTCCTTGAATTGCTGTTAGGTGCTGGATTAACTTGTACAGAAAGATAGAAAACATTCTCACAGACAATTATAGAATTTTCAGGTTAATTTTGAATCACTTCCTCCCGTAACCCTTTATCATAATTCGTAGAATTCACTTCAGAATGATAATCTCCGGATTTGGTACCATACCTAAAAATTAATAAGGCGTCTTCAATAACTCCCATTTCACCATTCGCTGTTTGTCTCTATGTATGCTCAGATATTTAAAACTACGCAAAGGATTTTCATGCTAGTGTTTCTAATAGATAGAGTGATTCAAGAGGAAGGTTTATATGGATAAACCACAATGAATATTTTTTATCCTCGAGAAATAATGGCTTATTTATGAAGCGATTTTGAGCAAAACAGCATCGATTCTCGGTCATTTGAGTACCTCAAAAATATTGTGCATTTAATATAGAATAATATGGCTCTTTTCATGTAATTTGAATGAATGTTTTTGAAGATATAACAGATTCAAAATGCAGAGATATAGCGGTTGCGGCGGTAGCGGCCAGAGGGTCGGCGGCTGATGCCTATAAATAGCGCGTCGAAAGCCGCGCTCCGCCCTATAGCACTTTATGATTAGCAGCGATTGCACGCGTTTATATGTATATTTCATAGATATTGTAATAGATGGAACATCATGGATCAATATCACATTGATAGAATAGAAGCAATTCAACGATGATTGCTACATTCTGAATTGCTACAAAAGCTTTTGCAGTCTCGAAAAAAGGCGTGAATATTATAGTGTTGCATTAACCTATGAAATTATCAAAAGCATAGTTGACTGCCCAACATTTCTGGAGAAGTTTAATATGTGCATTCCTAGAATCTGTTCCAGACACCCGACTACTTTCTATATAAAAACATCTCGCACAAATGTTCTGGAGAATTCTCCGATCCATACCATGTGTAAAGTGACAAATTCTGTTAGCGATAATTTAGATATATTCAGTTGCAAATTGTCACCTATAATAAATATAAAATATGTAGTCTTTATAGTCACTTGTTTGTATTGTTTGTAGACTTTACAGGTTACTTGTTTGTGATGTATTCATTATACTCTGTTATTTCCTGCTCTGTAATTGGCCTATGTCCTGTAGAGTATTGTATTACAAATAAATAAACAGATCTTCCCTCAAAAAACTTGAGCCGATATCTTGACAACAGTCTTCGTTTTAAAACACACATTTCACAAATTCTGAAACGGGGTTGTGCAAATTTGAAAATGGTATATTCCAACAGAGCATTCCTGAATAAAAAAAAAGTAAAATTATACTCTGCGATGCCTTAGTTCTTTCACATGCCAACTCCGCAGACGAGGTGTATGATCTGGGAATATTTCATCAGTTCGGACTTCCATTGTCTGATATAATATAAATTGATTTGAAATCCCTGAAAAAAATAAAAAGATTAACCGAAAATAACAATTTTATTGAAACAAAAAACTGAAATTACGAAGTGTACTCTTTCATCAAAAGTTGGTCGGGGGTCGAAATATTTCATCCTTCATCTTAAGTGTACACTTTGGATGAAATCACAATGAAAGGCAATTTACACTTGTCACTTTCGATGATTCCTTCAAGATGATCATCAAAAGTGACAAATGTAAATGGGCCTTTAGGATGTCTTTCACTTCCTCGGGAGATGTCGGGACCAGAGGTTGCGCGTTATCCGCTCTTTGTCTTAATCTTCGTACCGTTCTTTCCACCTGTCTCTCGATTTCGTCTACCTCGTCCATGAACGGGACGTCGTTCTCTCTGCACTGCCTTTCGAAGTTGTCCACGAATGCTTCCGCCTCCTTCTGGTCAGTGTAGACGAATCCTTGCTCGCCGTGTATTGGCGGGCATGGCTGTCGAGATCCTATCCTGAGTACTTTCTGCATTCTTCATGCAGACTGGTCTTCAGTGTTTAGTTCTTCCAGACGGGTAGTCAATTGTCTTTCTCGGATAGCTTTCAGTTCTTCTTTCAGTATCCTGTTGGCTCTCTGCATGCACCTTTTGTCCATAGGTGCACGTGTCCTTTCGTATTGTCTTTTCAGACGTCT